AGGCACCCGCAGGAATGTGCACACAAACAAATAATGGTCTTTTAAAAGGGGGTTACATTTTGATGTGTTTTAATCTGTAACTTTAATTAATTACTTCAATATCAATGTTTCTGTTTTATTTTTAATTGAAATTAGAAACAAGCTTGTTTTACATGTCAATCCCAGTTCCCTTTTCCTCCTGTACTCTCCTGACCCCACCGACTCCCTATCCCATTCCCTTTCTGCTCCCCAGGGAGGGAGAGGCCTTGCATGGGGGATCTTCAAAGTCTCTCACATCATTTGGAGCAGGGTCTAGGCCCTCCCCCCTGTGTCTAGGCTGAGAGAGTATGCCTCTATGAGGAGTGGGCTCCAAAAGTCCATGTGTACACTAGAGATAAATACTGATTCACTACCAGGGGTCCCATAGACTGCCCAGGTCTCCTAACAGACATCTATGTTCAGGGGGTCTGGGTCAGTCCTGTGCTGGTTTCCCATCTGGGGTCCATGAGTTCCCCCTTGTTCAGGTCAGCTGTTTCTGTGAGTTTCTCCAGTCTGGTCTTGACCCCTTTGCTCATCGCTCCTCCCTCTCTACAACTGGATTCCAGGAGTTCGGCTCAGTGTTTAGCTGTGGGTATCTGCTTCTGCTTCTATCAGCTACTGGATGAAGGCTCTAGGATGGCATATAAGATAGTCATCAATCTCATTATAGGGGAAAGGCATTTAAGGTAGCCTTTCCACTATTGCTTAGATTCTTAGGTGGGATCATCCTCAGGTGGACATTTCCCTATTGCCAGATTTCTCTTTAAACCTAAAATGGCTCCCTCTATTATGGTATCTATTTTCTTGCTCTCCTCTATTCTTCCCCTGACTCAATCTTCCTGCTCCCTCATGTCCTTCTCTTCCCTCCTCTTCTCCCCTTCTCTTTCTCCTAAATCCCTCTCCCCTCCCCCCATGCTCCCGATTTGCTCTGAAGATCTTATCCCTTTCTCCTTCTCTGGGGGAATATGCATGTCTCTCTTAGGGTCCTCTTCACTTCCTAGCTTCTCTGGAGGTGTGGATTGTAGGCTGGTAATCCTTTGCTCTATGTCTAAAATCCATATATGAATGAGTATATACCATGTTTTCTTTTTGTCACTGGGTTAACTCAGTATGGATAGTTTCTTCTAGTGCCATCTATTTGCATTCGAATTTCAAGAGTCCATTGTTTTGTTTTGTTTTTCTCTTAGTAGTACTTCATTGTGTAAAGGTACCACATTTTCTCTGTCCACTCTTCGGTTGAGGGGCATCTAGGTTGCTTCCAGGTTCTGGCTATTACAAATAATGATGCTGTGAACATAGTTGAACAGATGCCCTTGTTGTATGAATGTGCATCCTTTGGGTATGTGCCTAAGAGTGAAATTCCTAGATCTTGAGGTAGACTCATTCCCATTTTCCTGAGGAACTGTCATACTGATTTCCAAAGTGGCTGTACGAGTTGGCACTCCCACCAGCAGTGGAGGAGTGTTCCCCTTTCTCCACATCCTTTCCAGCATAAACTGTCATTGGTGTTTTTGATTTTAGCCATTCTGACAGGTGTAAGATGGTATCTCGGACTTGTTTGGATTTGCATTTCCATGATGGTAGGGATGTTGAGCATTTTCTTAAGTGTCTGTCAGCCATTTTACATTCCTCTACTGAGAATTCTCTATTTAGTTCTGTACCCCACTTTTTAATTTTTTATTTAAATTAAAAACAAGCTTGTTTCACATGTCAATCCCAGCTCCCTCCCCTCCTCCCCCTTTTTCCCACAGCCCCCCACTCAAACCCCACTCTTTCCCCCAAGGAGGGTGATGCCCTCCATGGTGGATCTCCAGAGTCTGTCATTTAATTCAGGGCAGGTCCTAGGCCCTCCCCCAAGAGTCCAGATAGAGAGAGCATGGTTCATTGTGGGATGGGCACCCAAAATTCATTTGCATGCCAGGGATAAATACTAATGTACTATCCAAGGCCCCATAGATTGCCTAGGCCTCCTCACTGACACCCACATTCAGGAGGTCTGGGTCAGTCCCATGCTGGCCTCTTAGTCATCAGTCTGGGGTCCAAGAGCACCCCCTTGTTCAGGTCAGCTGTTTCTGTGGGTTTCACTAGCTCAGTCTTAACCCCTTTGCTCATCACTTCTCCCTCTCTGTCACTGGGTTCCAAGAGTTCAGTTCAGTGTGTAGCTGTGGGTGTCTGCCTCTGCTTCCTTCAGTCACTGGATGAAGGTTCTAGGATAGCATATAAGGTAGTCATCAGACTTATTATCAGGGAGGGGCATTTAAGGTAGTCTCTCCACTATTACTTAGTTTGCCAGTTGGTGTCATCCTTGTATATCTCTGGAAATCTCACTGGTGCCAGATCTTTCCTCAAACCTATAATGACTCCCTCTATTATGATATGTCTCTTCTTAAGTGTCTCTCAGCCATTTTAGACTCCGCTACTGAGAATTCTCTGTTAAGTTTTGTACCCCACTTTTTAATTGGATCCTTTGGTGTTTTGGAGACTTGCTTCTTGAGCTCTTTGTAAATTTTGGAGATCAACAACTCTGTCAGATATGGGATTAGTGAATATCTTTTCCCATTCTGTGGGCTGCCATTTTGTCTTGTTGACTGTGTCCTTTGCCTTACAGTAGCTTCTCAATTTCAGGAGGTCCCATGAATTTATTGTCGACCTCACTGTCTGTACTACTGGTGTTATGTACAGGAAGCGGTCTCCTGTACCAATTCGTTCAAGGGTACTTCCCAATTTCTCTTCTAAGAGTTTCAGTGTGGCTGGATTTATGTTGAGGTCTTTGATACACTTGGACTTATGCTTTGTGCATGGCGGTAGACATGGATCTATCTGCAGTCTTCTACATGCCAACATCCAGTTATGCCAGCACCATTTGTTGAAGATACTTTCTTTTTTCCATTTTATGATTTTAACTTCTTTGTCAAAGATGAGGTGTTCATACGTGTATGGGTTAATATTGGGGTGTTCAATTTGATTCCATTGGTCTACCTGTGTATTTTTTGTGCCAATACCAAGCTGTTTTCAGGACTATAGCTCTATAATAGAGCTTGAAGTCAGGGATGGTGATGCCTCCAGACGTTGCCTTGTTGAACAGGGTTGTTTTGGCTATCCTGGGTCTTTTGTTTTTCCATACAAAATTGATTATTGTTCTTTCAAGGTCTGTGAAGAATTGTGCCAGTATTTTGATGGGGATTGTATTGAATCTGCAGATTGCTTTTGGCAAGATTGCCATTTTTACTATGTTGATCCTACCAATCCAAGAACATGGGAGATCTTTCCATTTCCTGGTGTCTTCCTTAATTTCTTTCTTTAAAGACTCAAAGTTCTTGCTATACAGGTCTTTCACTTGTTTGTTTCGCGTTACCCCAAGATATTTCTCAGTATCGTTTTTCTTGTCCCCCTTTTTATTTCTGATTTCATTAATTTGCATGTTCTCTCTGCCTTTTGGTTACTTTGGATAAAGGTTTGTCTATCCTGTTGATTTTCTCAAAGAACCAACTTTTTGTTGCATTGATTCTTTGTATTATTTTCTGTGTTTCTACTTTATTGATTTCAGCCCTCAATTGGATTATGTCTCAATATTCATTTTTAAAAGGAATGTCAAACTCCAGGTTTTTTACTAATTATTTTCCCAACCCTAATCACATTTCCCCTCCCTCCCTTCCTCCTCTCCTCCCAGACCCTCCCACCAACCTTCCCTCTTCTCCCATCCACTCCTCCTCCTTTTCTTTAGAAAGGGGTAGTCTTCCCATGTATATCAGCCAGCCATGGCATATCAATTGGCAGTTAAGACTAGGCCCCTCCTCTCCTATTAAAACTGGACAAGGCAATCTAGTAGGAAGAAACTTTTGCAAAATCAGGTCCCAGAGTCAGAGATAGCTCTTGCTTCTACTGTTAGAATTTCCACCAGAAGCCTCAGCTACACAACTGTATTGCAGAGCGATTAGTTCAGTCCCATGGAAGCTCTCTGGTTGGCAGCTCAGTTTCTGTGAGCCCCTATAAGCCCAGGTTAGGTGATTATGTAGGCTTTCTTGCGGTGTCCTTGCCTCCTCTGTCTCCCATAATCCTTCCTCCACTTCTTCCACAGGATTTGGGGTCCATCAAATGTTTGGCTGTGGGTCTCCGCATCTGTTTCCATCAGTTGCTGGGTGAAGGATTACCTTTTCTTATTTAGATCCTCTTGATATTTTCCAACATCTCAGCTCACCAAAAACACTTCTTCGAGACTATTAACTCTTTGAAAAGAACTGGGTCCAAAATTCTTTGATTTTTGTTTCCTTGATGCATATATGATTCTTAATCAGCCCATGTAATGTTCCAGTGTACTCTCAACCTTAAGTGATTTATTGATACTACAAAAAGGGCAGTTATCCATGCGATGTCAGCATTTGCAGACATGAGAAGCACTGGACATGACCTTATACAGAGACTCTGATGATTATTAATTATCAACAATCTGGAGTATTCTAATTTTTCAATGGTGACATCAAGTTTTTTACAGTTGTCATTCACCAGAGAAGCACAAAACTGTCACCACAAACATGCTGCTGGTGGAGGACAGTGATTGGCTGTGTGTCCAGTCTCCTCACAGAAATTTGTAACAAACACAAACTGAGATAACCATGTCCACTTAATTCCCAGTTCTTGCAATGTGCACCCCAGTGAGATAGAGAGGCTAGAAGTTCTCCAGAAGTTCACTCAAGTGCCATGTGCTCAGTGTAAATTATTGTCCTCATCCGTACTTGTGCACCTGCAACAGTTTGCTTGCCCCTCCAGTTCCTTCCTCTCAAGGATTTTATGGTCTTGGTTGGATTCCAAGTTGTGTACATTCTGCACATGCTCCCTAGAGCCATTTCCATTGGGCACACATCTCCTTTAGGGATTGTGGGATGGAAGGAGGACAGATGGGAAACTTGCTAAAAGCCTAGATGCTGCTGCAATACCATTTCCATTCACAAAACATTTGTGGAGATGATGCTACTCTCTTTTAGGTTCCACCATGGCTCTCTGCAAGCTGGAAGAAAATGAGATCGAAGTGAGCCTTGATTTTGAAGAAGAGGGCACTGCAACAGCAGAAAGTGGCGGCTCTGGTAAAGTTTTTCTAAATGGTTCAGACAAACCAAAGAACCAGGGCATCCTAGACCACAAGGATGATGTGATGCAGTCTTCAGTCTTCAGATACATTCGTGGTAACATCAAAAAGGAGAGCCATGGGAGCCACCAAGCATCTGGGTCCCCACAGCTGAAGGAGCAAGAGAACATGGCTGCTGCCAGAATTCCACAATTTCGGCGCACAAGACCACGGATCCAGTTTGGTCTGACACCCAGGCAGCTTAGTGAATTGGAAGACGTTTTTGAAAAAACTAAGTATCCTGATGAGAGCATAAGGTATGTAGTTTGTTTCAGTAGCCATCCCAGCTCCCATCCTTCAGCAGCTGATTTGGAGGTGTGTTCTCTACACTGTGGCCCTCTCTTTTGAACTCTTAAGCATGGAGTCCTTTGCCTGTTTTGTTGCTGGGTATGGGGAGTTTATTTTGTGAGGTCAAAGTCAGTATATCCATGCAGTGTTGATATGGATTGATCCTAAAGACTGGTTGATGCCTCTCAATTCCTTCCTTCAGTTTTCTCTTTGTTTATGTTTATTTTCCTCCTCCTTCTTCTTCATGATCCCCCTACCTTTTGTAATAGGAATTGAACTCAAGACCTAGTTGTTTCTAAGCATATCTCCCTTGTGTTAATTAAGTAATGTGTTTATTGTAGTAAAACAGTTAAGGAAAAGCCACTTTAATACTTTAGAGTTCACCATCTTTACATATTTTTGTGTTGGTTTATGATTCACCTCCAAAAGTCTCTTCATCTTGCCAAGCTGAAATGCTGCATTCCTCTAACAACCCCACTTTTTCATTTTATTTCCACAGGAAGGACCTTGCCAAGCGCTTGTTCCTTGGAGAATCCAGAGTACGGGTCAGTAAATCTGAAAAGGCTTTGGGCAGGGCATTCTGCTTCAGGATATGGACCGTTTTCTTGGAGCCATTATGAAAAGGAATCATGGGTGGGAGGTGTCCTTGTCTGGTTGATAATGGCCAGCAAGCGTTGAGTCTTGCAGTTTTCCAGAGGTGAAAGTAGAACGAGCACCCAGCAGTTTATGGTCCTTTCCCATTGCTGGAGGCAGCATGATCTCCTAATTGAAAAAAAATAAAAAGCAGACTACTTATAATCAGTATGTGAACCTCAGATGTATAGAGAGCTTTGCATACTGTAATGTCATGCGCATAGAAAGACATAAATGTTTACTGTATGTCTGCAGTGATTAATACTGAAGTCTTGACACTCAGGTCATTTCAGGGCACTTATGTATAAGATCATAGTAGGGTTCTAAGTGACCTTGGGGACACTCTGATTGATGTTGTAAGCAGCAGGGCTCAAAAGGTTCAGTTGCAACAAATACACACTTACTTAAAAGCATGAATTAATTGAGGCAAAGCAGAAATTCCCCCCAAGAAACACAGTTTTTGAATAACTAGCCTGTGTTTTGTTTAGCGAAGTCACACAAGAAGACACTTTAGAAGTCCACATGGTTGGCCCTCCACCTTTGTAAGCTTGTGGAAAGTAATGCAGACAGCGACAAGGCTGAATTTTCATGTTCCCCCACATTGCGTTTTGGCTAACTAAAATCATTGCCAAAAGAGTCACTTTGGTGTTTGGATAGGGCTAGAGCTGATACCTTTGGAACTTTGTGCCAAAATTAAACAAAAAGAATAACAGTGAATTAATTTCAGTTCATCTAATAAGGAGAAGGTGGTCAGGGGAAATGATGCAGTCAAATGCAGGTGGGCTGAGGAGAGGGCTCAGTGGTTTAGGCACTTGCAACATGAGTCTGAAACCTGAGTTGGGATCCTCAGCACCCGACCAAGAGCTTAGCTCACCTGCAGTCATAATCTCAGCTTCAGGAGGCAGAGACTGGGGATCCTTCGGGCGATCTAGACTAGCTTAACTGCTGATTGTAGGTTCAGGGCCAGACCCTCCTACCGTAAACCATGTGGGGAGCAAGCTAGGAAGATGCTTGACTCTGATCTCAGTCCTCTGCAAGCACATGGATTCACATGCACAGCACACACCATCCATAGAAAAAGTGAAGGGTGCCAAGCCATGGTCAAGTGAGTCTTCTGTTGAAAACCTTGTAAGCTGAAAAGGTTCCTTTTAGTTTACATGACTATGTTGAAGAGATTTGCATAGGCTTTAGGAGTCAAACATGGGGAACTCTGACCTAATGTGAGCCCACATGAGTCAGCCACTGGGGCTCTGTTTGAGTTCATGGAGGCATCATGATGGTAGGCTTGAGTTTCCCTGAGTTCCCCTCAGCAGAGCTTCTGGTCCCTTGGTTGGTCTTCTTTAGATTATACATCCACATAATAGAAGGTGCCAGGCAGGGAAAGAAAGTGCATGGAGTCACAAATGTGACTAGGAGCCCGACAGGATGACGACGTGTAATAGGTAACTGTGACTGTATTTCCATAGCTAGCCAGTGTATTTAGGAGGAGGCAGTTTTGTTAACTGTTCTCCACATTGTGGCAGATCACCTTCCTGAGGGGAGGTTCAACCTTAGGGCTCTGCCTTAAGGCTTTGAATGTCCTTGTAGAATAAAAGGGCCAAGGATGCTCTTCATGTTGAGCAGGAAGTAGAGCATCAGTACCTTCAAGCTACAGCTTTATTGAGAAGACTGTCTTTGTCCCTAGCCCCGAAAACCTAAGAGAATATGGAAGAATTGGAGGGCAGAAGTCCATAGGTGACAATGGTCTCCCCATTCCCTAAACTCCATAGAAGCAGAGGAGTCCCAAAATATCTGAATGATTTGTCTGAATTGGTCTCATTTCCGTAACTATGTCGGTGACAATTTCACAGCTCTGTTCAGGCCTTCCTTGGAGTAGCGTTAGCTGTTCCAAGGCAATCTGAGAGGGACTTTTGTTTGTTTGAGATGTGGATCGGATATAACTCTGCACTCTCTTTAGGCAAGTGTGCTTCCTTGTAATCACCCCACCTCCTTCAGGTGTTAGAGAAGTAAGAAGCCATCCAGTCATGACTGGTGGGCTGAAAGCATGGGAGCAGAATTGTTTATTAGGGAAGAATTATGTATTTTGATAAAAAATGCCAGTGGAGATTCAGAAACACAGAAGGCTGCTTCTGAGAGACAGATGGAGAAGAAGCTGCAGGGAAAACGGGACGGGGGGGAGTGAGGAACAGAAAGAGGACCAGGAGGAAGAGGAGGAGGAGACTGAGAGTGAAAGAGATTGTTTTCTGACACTATCTTAAGTGATAAATCTTGAAGCATCCTTTGTCCTTCCTGAGATTGGCCTCTTGTGAGGAGGCACCATTGAAAGTTAGGATTTAACTGTTTATACAGGCATCACAAGTCTTCAAGATAGGCTGCAAACAGTGTGATTTTTGAAATATGTTCATTTCATTTTTATTTTTGACCTTTTTGTACAGAAAATAGGTTTTTGTTTCCTTAGAGTGATACAGCACTTCTGGAACTTCCAATCTTTCTGCTTGCTCTTCTGCATAGATCCCTGAGCCTTGAGGGGATGAGCTTGATGAAGACATTTAGGATTGAGTGTTCTCAAGTTGTTACCAGAGCTGACCACTCAGACACAGTTTATAGTTAACTGAAAGTCTCTATTCCAGCTGACTAGGACCACACTCAGGTATTTGGGCACCTAGGTGTGGCCCCAAGTGTCCAGAACACGGGATTTTTAAAGGCAGAAACCATGTCCTAGCATCTCAGTAGCTGCAGAGGAACTTTGCAGAAGTAAGCACTTTGAAGCAGGCTGTTTAACAGAAGCTAGGGTAAGCAGATAACTGGGGTGGGGGTTCCATACAAGCAGGCCATTTGCTAGAACATCCTTGATCTTTCGTCCCTTGAATACAGCTGAGTAATTTTTTCAGGGAATTCTCCATCAAAGGCTTCAACAAGAATACAAGATGGAGGAACCTCTGTATTGTCTTGCCCTGTCACATTCCCCATTGTTTCAAATGACATGAATCAAATCATTGACTCACCCTGTTCTAGGAGGGTATAGTTGTTCTGAAGGACCAGTAGCTTAATAGCTTAAATGAGTTATTCTCTGTTGGATGCAGTTGGCCGTGTAGTTAAGGATGGAGAGTTCCACCATTAGCCCATTTGGGACAAGAACCAGTAGTCCAGCTAATGCTGACAGGAAGTTGGTCAGTCATAGGGGCCAAGTCAACAGAAACTGATGCCAAATTCTGATCAGTGTCTTCTTTCTTTCTTTATTTTCTTTGAGCTTTTCTCTCTCTCCTCCACTCTTCTGTATTGTGTTCTCTCACACACTCTATCAACTATTCTTTTGCCCTCTCCTACTCTCTCTACTTTCTTTTATTCATCATCCCCCAGTACTTCTTTCCTCTACGTATTTAAAGCAATTGCCCATGCATGTACTCCAGGGCACCGGCAGTGTCTTTCCACAACCTCATCCTCACCCCCCCTCTTACAATAGAGCAACAGGTGCAGATTTTCCAGGAACCCTGCTGAAAGTCAGACTTGGCCCACACATTGGCCCATTACCTCCTAATAGCCTTATTTCCTGTGCATAGGAGATAAGCGGCCTCTGTGGAAAGACACAGAGTCCTCTACAGTTACCCATCGAGGGTCCTGACTCTTGCAGCTCTTTGGTTGCTAAAACTGGACAGAGCCATACCAAAAAAGAAATTAGAAATATATCCAGCTTTCTATATCTTCAACTTAGGTCCTAAATCTTGGTTGGGATCATCCCCAACAACCTATGGCCTTTGCATCAGCTATTCCTGCCCCTACTTACTTGGGACCAGAATTGGGACCCTTTTGACCTTCATTAACATCGAATCAAGGCTACGATGAGCTCTCCATTCTTCTTCATTATAGGCACATATCCAGAGGATAATATAGACTAGTATACATCCATTTTTTTCATATGACTTTCCGGTGAGTCAGAGGAGTCTAACCATTAGTACAAGCAAGCCAGGTAATTTGAGGGCATGATGCAGGTACCTTGTCAGGCAATGTATAAAATTGTAATCCCTGAAGGCCTTTTTCTATCCAGTCTAATTCATATCCCTGAACCCCTTCTCCCAGTCTATTTCTCCAATTTTTTCTCTTGTTTGTTTCCCCAAGGGCATGGGAGAGTTACTTCCACTCTTTGTCTTTGTCTTGAATTTCAGCTGTTGTAAACTTTCTGAACAATTTCCATAAGTAGAAACCTACTAAATATCTGCCACCACTCTCCACACATTGTACTGGGAAATTACTTCTGAAGAGACCAGTATTGGCTCAAGATCACCAGACCAAGTTCTCAGCACAAAGGAGATTTGTTGGCCCCAGAGAGACAAGGGGCAGGGAATAAAAGACAAAGACAGAAGATAGAGGACAAGGGAGAAGGGGTAGGGAACAAGGGAGAGGGGGAAGGAATATTTGTCAGGGATGGGGGTGGCAAAAGACTGCCTCTGAATAGAGAGGAGACTGACATAGCAAATGTCAGTTTATAAAGGGAAAACTCTGTTAGGATAAGGTGTTTAATTTTGATTGGACAGGTTAATTAGGGCAGCCATAAGGGCATTTTGATTGTTGGACTTCAATACTTTGATAGCTGGAACTTACTAGTAAGCCTCAGGAGAAGGAAGTGGCCAGGTAATGGCATAAACGTTGGTGGCTGGCTTCAGGAATGCGTTCTAACAGATTTGAGCAAGGTAGAGGGAGTGGGGGAGAAAGGGATGGCCTGCCAGAGTCATGCTTGCCATGCTCAAGTTGGCTAGAGTCCCTTTGGCTTCCTCCTTCCACTGTGCAACCAGCACCTGACTCTAGGAATCATTTTCTTCTCCTGGCTGTGGGAACAGGCAGAGGTTTGGGGTTTCTTTGGGCAACTCGCTTAGGCCCAAAGGATTCTGCTCTTCAACAAAGGACACAGGTCTTAAACCGAGGTAAGGGGTCTTGCAGGAAACCATTGGTTATTACAAGGAAACTGGTGATTACAGCCATGGCTTGGAAGCATCCACATAGTTATAACAGCAGTGGAGTTGGCTGCCAAGAGGCACAACCACAGTTGCTGCCAGAAGCAGGGGCACCATAGTGCTGCCTGGCATTGCCTGTGAGCTTGCAGGGGATTGTGCATTGCCTAGGGGCAGCTGAAGCTGTGGTCTTGGGATGACTTACTCCCCCTGTCATTTTAGATCTGTTTCTTCAACCAACAGAACCGACACACAGGGAGACACAGTCATACAGAGAGAGACATAGTAAAGAAACAAGAAACGGTTGGACACCACACTTTCATACACCTGCAGTAACATCTCACACAGATCCTGGACACAGGATCTATGGTCACATCTGACCTCACTTCTTGTGTCCTAACCAGATGGTGCCTCTTACACACCAAACTTACCTCTGGAGGTGTTCACACCAGATAACTTTTGTTTTACCTCTTTTGTTTGTTTTTCTTTTGGGTGGTGACCAATATTGGGTGCCTCCAGAGTGCTCAACAGCGATGGCTTAGGATTTTCTTGGGATCTTGGACCATCTCAGGCCCAGAAAGTCCACTAAGAGTCCTCTCAAGCTGCACTCTTCAGCGATCCTGGGGGTCCCAAGGCTCTCAGTGTCTGGGTCTGATCTCTGGGATCTCAGTGGGACCTCTAAAATTTTACCTATAACCCACTAGAGATGACCACTCAAGCAGTTTATAGTCAATTGAAAGTATTCCAGTTGGTCAGGATCACATCCAAGCTATTCAGGGATATATATATCCCTGAGAGTCCAGAAGATGGAGTTTTAAAGGTAGAAAATGTCATGGCATCTCACTTGGAAGCTGCAGGAGGATTTGCAGAGTAAACACTTAGAAACAAGCAGTTTTAATAGAAGTCAATTAAGTGGTTAGCTGGAGTGGTGTGTTCTGAACAAGCAGGCTAAGAAGCTAAGATCAGGTAGCTAGGACCTCTCTATCTCTCCCTCCCTCCCTCCCTCCCTCCTTCTCTCTCTCTCTCACATGGTTTTTCGAGACAGGGTTTCGGAACTAGCTCTTGTAGACCAGGCTGGCCTCGAACTCACAGAGATCTGTCTGCCTCTGCCTCCCGAGTGCTGGGATTAAAGGTGTGTGCCACCAACGCCCAGCCTAAGTTTCTCATTTTTAAGCACAAGACCTGCATGGGTTCTAACCAGACAAAATTCCAGCACCGAGAAAGGGATGTGGACAAAAAGTCCCACCCCTAACCTAAAAAAGAAGATATTTGCAGTTGATACCTGCTGATAAAGGGAACATCAGTGTTTTTATGGAGCATCACTGGGTATATCAACCATACTCTGGGCCAGGGCCCATACCCAGTAATAGTTCTGGCTGACTATGTTTTCTGCAGGCTTTTTGTTTCATTTGTTTTATTTTGGTATTTTTTTGTCTTTTGTTTGGATTTTTGGTTTTTGTTTTGTTATTGTCTTATTTTTTGAGACAGAGAAAATGAAGTTGAATGGGTAAGGAGGTATTGAGGATGTGGGAATTGTTCAGAGAGGGAAAAACAATCAAATATATTGTATGAAATGATTTTTTAAAGAAAAGCCTACATATATATGTATATATGTAATCGTTTTGTTCAATCTAAAGCCTCACTGGCATGTACAGTTACACAGTGTTTTTTCTAGTTGTGATATAAACTGTTGCATATATTAAAAGCGTCTCTTTCACTGTGTTATTGCAGAGTTGGTTTAAGAGAAGAAGAGCCAAATACAGGAAAAGTCAGCAGTCTCAAATGCTGCAGAGTGAATCTGCTGATAGGCAGAACACCTAGCAGCAAAGCTTTCGGAGGAGTCCTGGAGCAGCACCCTGTCCAGGTGCCAGATGAAGACAGGATATTGTGATGTCACTGACACATTAAGAGCCTATAATGGCTGTAATGAAAGCTTATCACTTCATCAATAAAGAGATGTCCATTCAATATGTTTCATGTCCTTTTTGGGGAATAGTAAGTTGTGGATGTCAATTATTGAGAAAATATTTAAGCAGAAGGACAAAGAGAGGTGACAAACTCTGAGTCACCTTTATTACTCCACAAATTACAGAAGTTTCTCCAGAGCCACAAAGATCCTCATGCAGACATGTATTTTTCTCCGTTGTCACATTGTACTATCTTCACCTTAATCCTTGACTCTGTGGTTGCAAATACATATAAGCAGGAATAGAGTGAGTCCCCAGTGAGAAGACTGTTCACAAAGAGAGCTGAGTTTCACCAATACTTAGGAGTTCACTCTTATCCCGCAGCAAATATACAGAATGGACATTCTGAGCATTTATGGTAGGAGGAGTATGAACGATCACCTAGGCTGCCCCCAGGTCTGTTCACTGTCCTTCCTTTCAATGGTACTAAGAGTCATTCTGCCATAGGTCCTACTGTTTAAAGGAAACACAAATGCCTGTCCCATGCTGATTAGAAAGAGGCTTCCTCTCTTCCCTCATCCCTATGCACAAGATGCACAAGAGGCATATTAACCCAGTTCCCTTGGGTCAGGCCAGACATGCAAAGGATTCTCAGCAGGCCAGGTTAGGGGTAGACATAGGATGTGGGGTTCAGGGCATGCAGAGAGCAATGGGCTGTGTTTTGCCAAGGTTAATTGGAGGAAAGGCAGTGTGGAAAGTGTATAGAGAGACTTATGCCTGAGTTCCAGCAGGGAGGGCACATCAAAGAGACATTAGCATGGTAGCGTATGCCATGGGGGGTAGAGCTTATGATCCTGTAAGAATGTGGCCAAGGCATGAGCTGATTTTGATGCTATCAACACTTGTAAGCTATGACAGACTCTAAAAAAGAGGGGTGCAGCAGCATGTGTTGAAGGCCTCTTTTGGAAACAGGTAAGTGGGTATCTGGAATATGTAATAGAGGAGACGGTGTAAACAGGGCTATGTACTCAGTGGATACACATCTGGAAGTCTGATATGACAGGGGAGGGGCATATAGCTATTATGGAAGTTTGTGGATGGTAGAGGCATCAGAGAAAGATGGAGGATGTGGATCCACACAGCAGGGTGTCTAGAGGCCAGATAATGTGTGTACTGGGTCGTTTTGTATGCCAACTTGACACAAGCTAGAGTCATCATAGAAAGAAAGGAGCCCTAGTTGAAGAAATACCTCCATGAGATCCAGATGTAAGGCATTTTCTTAATTAGTGATCAATGGGCAATGGCCCAGCCCATGGTGGGTGGTGCCGTCCCTGGGCTGGTGGTCCTGTGTTCCATAAGAAGGCGGGCTGAGTGAGCGAAGGGAAGCAAGCCAGTAAGCAGCTCCCCTCCACGACCTCTGCATCAGCTCCTGCCTCCAGGTTCCTGCCCTGTTTGAGTCCTTGTCATGACTTCCTTCAATGATGAACAACAGTGCTGAAGTGTAAGCCTAATAAATTCTTCCCTCCCCAACTTCCTTTTGGTCATGGCGTTTTGTCACAGCAATAGAAATTCAAATTAGGACAACATCCTTCTACTCGAAGCATAGCTGGGAACACTGATGCTGGAGTTGTAAGCCCCAGGGAGGATGCTGGATTTAGGGCCATGAGCAGGACCTAGAAGGAAGGGGTAGACAGATGCCTATGCAGGCAGAGGTTAGGTGTACGAAGTGGAGACAGCAAGAAAGACCCCAAGGGTCTACTGCCTTGGAATGCAGACAGGCTTAGTCGAGTCCTGATAATTGGAGAGTGACTGGCCACACAAAGTGGGCCTGGTGTGTAGAGCCCAACAGATGTTCTGTGATCTCCGCACAGATCAAAGGACAATGAGGAAGGGGCCATTGCTAGTAACCAGGTTCTGGTGTGGGGCCAGAGTGAACACCCACAACTCCACATGCCAGGAGAGGGGGGAAGCATTTGCAGCCAACATACAAGTGGGAAGATAATCTCATTGTAGTCTGTGTTCCTTATCCAGCAACTGCCATTCCCACGACAAAACATTCAAAACCAGCACACATCTCCTGCGGCCACGCAAAATCCAGAATAGGGGCATAGAGAGATGGTGCTTCAATTACGGCCCCAGTCATCCTCTTTCATGGTTCATTTCCCAGCACCTATGTTGTCTCGCAATCTCCTGGAACTCCAGCTCTAGGGGGTACGACAGCGTCTTCTAGCCTATGCAGGCACCTGCATGCACACATGCACAGATTCATGCACGTAATTTCAAAAAGGAAGTCCAGATTGAGAGTTCCAGACAACAGATCATCAGTCATGGTTCTCTGTGTCCCAGGATCATTCCTGTTCTGGCCACCATCAGCACATATCTAGTGTAAGATGTTTTTGGTATGTGTATCTGGATAGGAACATGGATGGTGTTTCATTTTCGTTGCTGTGACAAAATACTCTGACAAAAAGTGACTCATGGGAAAAGGTTTTATTTTAGCTCACAATTCCAGGTGACAGACTGCAAGGAATTCAAGGCAGAAGGAACTTAAAATAGTTGGACACATACCTTTCACAGTCAAGAGTTGAGAGAAGTGAATGCGTTCATGCTCGCTTGCTTGTTTTGTCTTATGGAAATTTATTCCTTTGCGTATAATTCAAGATCCCTTGGCTAGGGAATGATGCGTCCAAAAGTGGGTTAGGTCTTCCTATAACAACTAACTTAAGATAATCTCTCACTGGCCAACCAGTGTACATAATCTATCAATCATTGAGACTCATCCCAAGTGAATGTAAGTTGTGTCAAGTTGACAATGAAAGCAAACTATCACAGAGGGTAAATGTGCTTGTCCCCAAGACAACTGCCATGAAATTCACCCCCAGGATTTACATGGTAGAAGGAGAGAGCCAGTCTCTGCAAGTTGTCCCCTTATCTCCACACTGGGAAGGGTCGCCCCAATAAATTAATGATAATAATAAAATAGTAATGGCTAATAATGTCATTACATACTACAATTCATGTGCTGCATGATAGAGTTTGCCTAGCTTGTACCAGGTCCTCATTTACTGGCTAGCCCCAGCAAGAAGGTTGAAATATTGTCATTGGGCAAGCAGGGTTTCACACATTAAAGAAGGTGTCAACTGAAAGTATCTATCTTTCTGGTATTCACAGGGTGGGGGGGGCTAAATTTGCCTTGAGCCCACAGCTTTGTCAAGGCCCACACAGCAGCCAAACACATGCTGGGATTAATAGCTGTGACTCTCCTAGATTAAGTGAGGAGAAATCTTTCCTCTGTTTACCCAGCTGGCTTGCCAAACCCTGACTACTGAGCCGCACCAACACAGGGGTCCAAGACAGGAGGCTTTACAGTGACACTGTCACTTCAGTCAACCTTCTTTCTGTACCATCCTAATGGCATGCTGTTTTGTAACAGTCTCCGCTGAGATTGTAACATTCCACCATGCAGGCTTGGGGGAGCCCCTTAAGCAAGGCGATAACTCAAAATAAATTTAAGAACTCCCTGAAACTGACCAGAGTCACTAGGCCCCTCTCTGCCAGAGTAAACAATGAAAGCTGAGAGTCCCTCTCAGAAGAAGAAAAGCTGAGCTGCTAAGAAGACTCTCAGAGGACAAAAGAAGAAAACAAGACTAAGACCAGCTGCCTGGAAGAAACAGAGACCAGCCAAGCTGCCTGAAAGAGCATTTAACTAACTGAGGCACCTGGGAAGGACATGCCCCCAACCTGAGGAGCTGCCTGCAGGCTATACAGTGTGCTTCAGGTACCAGGTTTTGTGAGCTGTCTGTCACCCAGGCTGGGGTGGGCTTTGGTGATACAGCTGCCTTGAGTCATTTATGCTTCTGAAAGTAACCCCTCACATATGTAAGTAACCCCAGTAAAATCCATTGGTCTACCAAGTTGGACTATGGTGGTCTCCTTACTTTGGTCTATCATGTGCTCCCTATCTGTGGAAAGTAGATGAGTGTTTCATCTCTCCAGGACAAGTCTTGTCACACAACACATGCAGGTAGCTTGAGGGCATTTCAAGAAAACCGGCTCATGAGATACCTGACTGGTGAGGTCAGGGCTGCCGAGATCAGCAATCAGCATCTCATGGCAGCCTGGTTCCCTGTGATTAGGTACTTGTTTATCCAATTCTGCATTCCCTCCTGTAACCCATTTTCAGATCTTCTTCAGTTAAAATTCTGCCAGAAGTTTCCATGACGTGGAAAGCTCCAGGGCATCCTGTCTCCCTTCTGGCTGTGGAAACACATGCCACTTCTACCCTGGCTATTTCTTCTCAGCATGATGGCAATGCACTCGTTCTTTCTGCTTTTGATTTCAGTGAACACTTTTCTTTGCCTTTAACATTGTCAGGTGACACTTTATGTGCCTACAACTGCAGAATAATGGAAAAATCTACTGGATAGGAAAACTGCATTTTCCCATTCTTGAAATGTTGGCGTGTGGGAGGAACAAGCCATGGCAAGGTAAATTTTAGCTGCAAATAAGAAATTCTTCTAAATGTTACTTTCACATTTATTTTATTTTATGTGTATGAACATTTTGCCTGCATTTATGTATGTATAACATGTGCGTGCCTGGTACCTGTGGAAGTCAGAAAGGGGCAGTGTATCCCTCTGTGAGCCACCAGATGAAGGCTGAACTCAGCTCTTATTGATGGACAGCTGCTACTCTTTACCAAAGGGCCATCTCTCCAGCCTCCCAAATAATTCTTTTAGCATAAAAATGCCTCTAATAATGTATGGAGAATGCATATCAACAGGAACCTGTGTCTGTAGTGGCACGTGCCTGTGGTGCCAGCGTTTGGGAGCCCGAGGCCGACAGTCTGGAGTACAAGGTCAGCCTGAGCTACATACAGTCTCAGCACCATGCATTTAGTGTTTACTTCTATTTTATATTATACCTTAGTGGTTCTCTAGTGAAACTAAAATTGGAAAATTGATGTGTCGTTATTTAACTTACAATGACCTTGAACAATTGTCCCTTTTAGAATTAGTCCACGGATATTTACCCGTGATTCAAGAG